TTTCCCACGTTTATTCAAATGCTTACGATGAACTTGTAGGTTCCGCTCCCAAATGTGACTTTGGCTCCACCTCATTTCTTCCTCCCTCTCCTATTCCTCTCTTCCCTAACCCCCGCCTCTCTCTCTCTCTCTCTCTCTCTCTCTCTCTCTCTCTCTCTCTCTCTCTCTCTCTCTCTCTCTCTCTCTCTCTCTCTCTCTCTCTCTCCCTCTCTCCCTCTCTCCCTCCCTCCCTCCCTCCCTCCCTCCCTCCCTCCCTCCCTCCCTCCCTCCCTCCCTCCGCCATCCTCGCTCCCTCTCCCTCTTTTCTCTTTCTTCCTTTCTCTCTTCCGTTCTCATTCCCACCCTTCCCGTCCTATCCCCTCCCCCCTCTCTGCCTTCTCCCCTCCCCCCTCCTTCCGCCTGACCCTTCCGTCCTTCCTCCCACGCCCGCCCGCCCGCGTCTCTGCTTCTTCCCGTCCTCGCCTCTGCCGCTTCGCCTGTTACTTCCCCGGCTCTCTGTACCTAGTCATGGCTTGCTCTTGTGGCTTTCGCCTTCCCCTCTTACTCTAATATTTCCTCTGATTTCTTGCTCTTGCTATCAGTCCATATCACTTCTTGCCCCTTTATCCGGCTCGTTTTCCATTCGCACTGCACTTTTCTCGTGTTATTTTCTTTGCTCTTTGCGTGCTTTGCCCTTATTCTTCATTTTTCATATTTTCTCTTCACTTTCCTTTCCCTCTTTCTGATTTCTTTATTTTTTCCCTTCGCTTTCCTTTTCCGCTTCCCCCTACCCATCGCACTCCCTCTCAATTTTCCCTGTCATTCTTCATTCTCCTTCTTGCCCTCTTTATTCCTTCTCCTCTCCCCTCCCTTCCCTTCCCCTCCCCTCCCCACTTCCTCACCCCCTTCGCCATTTCCCATAGCCCTTCCCCTTTCCCATTCCTCCTCCCCACTCCCTCCCCATCCCTCACCCTCCCCATCCCTCACCCTCCCTCACCCTTAACTCTCACCCTCCCCCGTGCCCCTTGCCCGCCGCCCTGGGTCATCCCGCCGGCCCTCGCGCGGCCCGGACGGCGTCGCGGCGTCACTCCTTCCACCTTCCTCTTCCACTTTCCTCTTCCACTTTCCTCTTCCACCTTCCTCTTCCACCTTCCTCTTCCACTTCCTGATTGGCTGGTTTTCATCCAGTGGATTCTTGACTTTCGTCTGGTTTAGGTTTCACTTTTTCCGTTTATTATTCATTGTGTTTTGACGGCGTGATATTTGCCTGTTTTTGTCTGTTGTGTCTCGGTCATCTCGCGTTTTTTCCTCCTTCGTTGTTGTCTTCATTGTTATCTGTTGTGTTTCCTCTTTTCCTTTTTAGCGTTTTCCTTTTTTTCTTTTCTTTCTATTGTTTTCTTTTTCTTTTATAATCTCTCTCTCTCTCTCTCTCTCTCTCTCTCTCTCTCTCTCTCTCTCTCTCTCTCTCTCTCTCTCTCTCTCTCTCTCTCTCTCTCTCTCTCTCTCTCCCCCTCCCTCCCTCCCTCCCTCCCTCCCACTCCCACTCCCACTCCCACTCCCACTCCCACTCCCTCTCCCACTCCCTCTCCCTCTCCCACTCCCTCTCCCTCTCCCTCTCCCCCTTCCTCCCCCTCCCCCTCCTCCTGAACCAATTCTCTATTTTGATTTTGATACCATTTGTCACCCCTCCCCCCCCCCTGTTGATAAACTTTCTTCCCCCCCCGGGTCGTATCCCCCTCCCTTTCCTTCCCCTCCCCTCTCCCTCTCTTTCCCTCACTCCCTAGTATCCTTCCCACAACCTTCCCGCAGTGTCCGTCACCACCATTAGCTTCGTCGTCGTTGTCATTATCATATTTTATTCATCATTTTACCCTACACGTATGTTATTATTATTATTGTTATTGTTATTGTTATTGTTATTGTTATTATTATTATTATTATTATTATTATTATTATTATTATTATTATTATTATTGTTATTGTTATTGTTATTGTTATTGTTATTGTTATTATTATTATTATTATTATTATTGTTATTGTTATTGTTATTATTATTATTATTATTGTTATTGTTATTGTTATTATTATTATTATTATTATTATTATTATTATTATTATTACAATTACTATTACTATTACTATTACTATTACTATTACTATTACTATTTCCTCGGATGGGGGGAATGGGAGTTATAAAGAGATGTGGGGAAGGAGGAGGGAAGAGAGACAGGCACGTCGCCATTGGAGGTTTTGTTTCACTTTGTATTTTTTAAATCAATAATTAAATGCTTGTATATTGGTTTGGGATTTTATGGACTAGAGCGGATAGATTGAAAAGGTTGTAGATATCTTTTGCGAGTTCGCTGTTTTAGTATCCTCCTAAAAATCTATTAAAAACTACATATTCAAACGCACTTTCCTTTTCGGCATTTGTTAAGAGCTCGTGCGGTATTCATAGTTTTGTTTTATCGGTGTGGTTGCAGGAAATGTGCTTCCTATAAAAGCACTTAACGATTCTGTGGAATGGAGGTCGAGAGACAGTGTAGAAGAAACTGCCTTGACGCTGGAATATTCTCTGTTGAACACGCATGCAGTTAGCGGTGTCAGTGTTGTTTGTATTGCTTTGGTAGTAATATTAAGTGTCAGTTCGTTGGCGGCTGCGGTGTCAGAAGGATCGGCTGGCGACGGCATTAGCTCTTAGAGGAGGTAGTGCAGGAATGATCATATTGTGGCATATGCGAGTACTAGACATGGCTAAAATCGTCACAAAAATATCATATTATCTGAAATAAATGTGTATAAAAAACCGCGTGTTCCTCATTCTGTGAACATGTCCTTTGGAGGTGAAGCTCTGCTATTGTTGTCAGCGCTGTAGTGTTGCCAGGACTAAGGTCTTGGCCATGATGCGTTGAGGTCAGCTCGGATGTCCGCCAGTGGCTGAGCAAAGGGGGGAGGGGATTGGGGGGGGGGGAGACTGTGGATCCTGGTTGCTGGCGAGTGTGGTGGTGAAGCGCAGTGAATGGTTTCTGAACAGTATTTTTGTCTCAGTAGATCGAATGGCAAAATGAGAGAAAAAAATACTTTATGCTAGGGTATAGGTTAAGCAATGAAAGAAGACGAGGAGAAATAGAGAGAAAGAGAATAAAGAGGGGGATGGAGAAATAAAAGAGAATAGGCCCTGAAGGCAAGATAGAGAGAAACGGAATGAAGAAAACTAGAAAGAGAGGGAAATGAAGAGAGATAGAGATTAGACACATGGAATATAACTCAAACAGAAACAAAGAGACATAGAACCAGACAGAAATGAAAATGAAATTGAAACTTAATCGAGCCCACTATCCACGCTGACATTTATCCACGATAATTACCTCGTCTCTGGTTCGAACCGCCTTCCCGGGAGCCGAAACCGCAGAGCGTAGCCATTGGCCGGGAAGGAAGGCCCTCCGCCTCTCCGCCCCGAGGACGCAGCTGGCCCGCCCTTTACGCAAGTCGACGAAGGCTCTGTGTGTGTGTGTGTGTGTGTGTGTGTGTGTGTGTGTGTGTGTGTGTGTGTGTGTGTGTGTGTGTGTGTGTGTGTGTGTGTGTGTGTGTGTGTGTTGTGTCTGTGTGTGTGTGTGTGTGTGTGTGTCTGTGTTGTGTCTGTGTTGTGTCTGTGTGTGCTTGTTTGCTTGTTTGCTTTTAGGTGGGTTGGTAGTGTGGTGGTGATGGTAGTGGCATGATCTTGGTTGGTGTGATAAAGGTAAAATGATGATGGGGTAATTGCAGTGGTGGTATAATAGAGGGAAGTAATAATGACAGTGATCCTGTCCGCAAGGCGAAGGCGAAACGATTTTTTTGCATCATTTGTTTTTCCATTGTTTCCATTCTAAGGTTTGTTGGCAGGGTGGTGATGGTGATGGTAACGGGATGGTCTTTGTTGGTAATATTGATGGTGAAAAGATATTGGGGTTATTGCAATGCTGACCTAGTAATGGCATTGATCTTTTACGCAAGACGAAGGCTATGGATGATTTTTTTTTTTTTTTTTTTTTTTTTTTTTAAGATGTGTTGATGGGGTAATGATGATATTGGTGAAATGGTCTTGGTTGATATGAGGATGGTAACATGATACTGGTGTCACTGCAATGGGGCGGTGATGAAGACGGTGATGCCGACGCTGTCATATGGTCTTGGCTGTGAAGGGGATGAACAGTGACAGTGCCAGGATTGTCGCAGTCAAGTTATCTCGGCGATGGTGGTCGGCGGGGGGAGCTCGCGTATGGCGTGGCGATGATCAGTGCAATAATCCTGTCAGGTGTGATGATCATGTGCTGAGGGTAAGAAAGTACTCGTGTTTGTGCTGAAGGGGGTGAAGGCTACGATGGTGCTGGGAATAGTAGTGATAGTGAGAGTGAAGAAGAAACAAAGATATCGATCGTGACGATGATCAATATAAAGATGATAATAATAATACAATACTAATGATGGTAGTAATGATGGTGATGATAATGATAACAATGATAATCATAAAATTAATCATTATGAGGATAATAGCAATAATGATAGTAATAATACAATAACAACAACAATAACGATGGTCATAATAATGGTAAAGATCAACTGATTTCATTGAGGATGGGACGCCGCCATTGGTTCCGAGCTGACGTAAACCTCCTCCTGAGACCCTGATTTGTTAATGTCTTGTCAGGTAACTGTTCTCGTTTTTTCTGCGAATTGACTGCAAGATGACGAAAATGCAGAGTGACGTCACGCGGAAGCTGGCTTGGATGGTCAGTCGGTAGGGAGAGGGCGGGAGGGGGGAGAAAGGGCGGGAGGGGGAGAGAGAGGGGAAGAGGGAAAGAGAGGGGAAGAGGGAAGGGGAGATGGAAAAGGAGGAGGAGAGGAAGAAGGGGCGAAGAAGATAGACACACATACATATATACAGCTAAACAGAAGAGAAAATGGAAATAGATTGAGAGAAAATGTAAACTAGAAGTAGATGTAGAGAGCGTAAGAGCGAAAATGAAAAGCAGACGATAAGAGGCAAAAAGAATCATGTCTGCTTTATTGCAGGAAATTAATGAGGCGCTACATTATATATCGTATTTCTCAACAAGGCTGGCGCTTCGCTTGTCACTCTTCTTTTCATTCGTCATTACATCATTGAGTAATTATGAATAACATTTCCCTTTCCATTTTGAGCGTTAGGTAAGCGGAGGCTGGAAAAGTTTCAAAGAATAGTACGGGCTGGTCTGTCCATAAAAAATCGCCATGGCCAACCGCTCCGCTCTTAAGGTTGTTCCGAAGACGCCAGAAGAAAGCAGGTCGAAACCAGATCTTTGCACCTGAGGCCACTCGGATGCAGGCGCGCACGAACGCACAAACATGCGTTCAGTTTTACGCACAGACGTACAAACATTAACGTACAGACGAATGTACCTTTTCGTTCGTGTGTACCTGTGCGAGCCCGTGTACGTATGTCTCTGTGCGTGAACGCGTGTTTGTACGTGCGTATGTATGCAAGTGCCTAAGAAAGGCTAAGCGACCGCTTGTGTCCCACGACGTGTCCCGCGGCGAGGTAACGAGAGTGAGGAGAGCGACGGCCACTTTCGCTCCCGCCGCCCAGCGAAGCCGGGCGCGCTGCTGTCCTCGCGCGCGCCAATCGCCTGCTGCGCTGCTGATTTGGCGGGGGGGGATGGGTAGAGGGAAGGAGGGGGAGGGTAGAGGATGAAAGAGGGGGGAGGGATGAAGAGGGAGAGAGGGATGAAGAGGGAGAGAGGAGAGAGAGGTTGGAAAGGGCAGCAGTAGAGAAAGATATAGAATAAAAAAGAGAAAACCAAGAACAAAGACAAATATAAATATTTTCTGTCCTCTTTCCCTGCTCTTTCCTCATCCCTCTCGTTCCTCCTCCGGGCGAAACCAAGGCCGAGGCTGCTAAGTATGCCGCCGCCGAGCGCCCTTGTCCGCGCGTTCATTCCGCGACGTAATGCCTGCAATGTTAAAAAGAGAAATACACTTATTATCTTTTTGTCGCCCGTGTCATTGCTTTTTCTTCCTGCTGTTATTGCATGCTGTGACATTACCGCGGTCGGGGGTCGGCATTTTTCTTTTTCTCCTTTCTTTCTTTCTTTCCTTCTTTCTTTCCTTCTTTATTTCTTCTTTCTTTCTTTCTTTTCTTTTTCTTTCTTTCTTTCTTTTTGGCAATTCTTCACTCTTTCGCCATTTAGATGTTGACGTCGCTGTGGGCGGCATTTTCGAAAGTTTTTTTAATCGCTCATTTTGCCCTTGTTGGGGGTGGGGGGGGCGAGACCGTGTAGGGGGCGTTGGAATGCGCGGTTGTTTTCTTTGCTTTTTGCATGTGTTCTGTTTGTATGTGCGTCACGTATTGGTTGTTTGTGTGTTTGGTGGTGGGTGAAGGTTTGTTTGTTCGTGTGCTCATGGGTGTGTTTCTGATAGCGTGCTTTTGTGTGTTTAAACATCAATATGCTTTTGTGTTCGTTTAGTGTGCTGTTTTGCGCAAGTGTTTGTACTCTCTCGAATATTTGTCTTCTGTGCGCAGTCATGTTTGAGTTTGTACATCCATCTGCTCTTTTTTTGTTTCAGTCAGGCTGTATGCCTGCCCATTTGTTTAATGCCGATCCCTGATGTATCCATCCATCCATCTATCCACCTACCGACTGCAGATGTATCTGCATCCATCCATCCATCCATCCATCTATCCACCCACCGACTGCAGATGTTGCTGTATCCGTTCCATTGTCTTTTTTCGAGTGATTGTCTGTCCGATCGTGGGTGTCACTGACAGGAAGTGCCGGTCGGGTCGTGAGTAACGCCCACTATGTCTATTTGTCTGTCTGTCTGCCCGCCCGCCCGCCCGCCCATGAGTCGGTATTCGGGCGTCCACTCACCCCCAAATTCGTCAGAACAAACTGTTGGTCGTAGTCGATGGTCGCGATATTTTGCGACAGTGTGACGGATGGTGAGGATGATGATGGTGATGGTGAGGATTATGAGGGTGCTGGTTATCATGATAGTGAGGATTATGAAGGGAGGCAGGATGATGATAGTGATGTTGATCATGATCATGCTCATATTAATGATCACTGCAGCTACTACTATTATATAATAATGACAACGATAGTAACTATTAATATTACTATTATAATTATTACTATTACTGTTATTATCATTATCATTATCATTATCATTATCATTATGAAGGGGACCAGTATGATGCTAATGAAGATAACAACACATTTTTGGATAAGGACCTTGGTTATTTTATTTTTACTTTTTATGTGCCGATGGATAGAAGTGCTGAGTCTGAACTGATACAAAAAAGATCCGTCAAGACAAAAGGTAATAATGGAGCAATAACCCGAACACGGAATCGAATAAGGCTCGAGATCACGAGACACAGGAAACGAAATCAAGGAATTCAGCGCCGCCGCCAGTTTCACGCCCGGAAGGTCACGTGCCCGTTTCCCCGCGCCATGGCTTCGTATCGTGTGCGTGTGTGTGTATGTGTATGTGTATGTGTATGTGCATGAGTATGTGTATATGTATGTGTGTGTGTGTGTGTGTCTGTCTGTGTGTGTAAGTATATGGGGTTGGGTTTGCTAATATAAAGGGTGTGGAGAGGTGATATACTATTCCACGTGGCTGTGCCTTCATGTGAAAATTTTATATTTATGTGCGTTTCCCGGTATGTATGTCTTCGCA